CAGTAGAACGTCCGGGAACTAAATACCCGGAGATTCAGCTGCCCTCACAATGGTCAGAAAAAAAAAATTTCACCAAAAAAGAAGGAATTTTTATGAGCAAAATCTGTCTGTGTTTCATCCCTGCGCAAGTTCGGTTCAATAAATACAAAGCTTTTTTATTCTTTGGATGACCAACAGAATTCAGCTGCAAAAAAACCCCCCTGTTTTATCTCTAGAATCGGGGGTAGTTACGCTTCTCGTATGGAAACATAACAGTAAGCAGATTGCAGCATCCACGTTGACCCTGGAAGAGCAGATGGCGAAGGTGTGATGGAATTCAGAAAGTAAGAACAGTGTAGGACAGAAGGCAAGATCAATAACATGGGATAACAACTATCCCTGATGCCCAAACGGTCCTGATATTCTCCTAATTTAACAGTAAAACCCTTTTCGTTAGTATAAAACAAATTAATATTACCCAAAACAGACAGGCACTGAGTGCAACTCTAACACTTTATTTCCACTCATAAGCTATAACCACCACATGCATATTACGGCTGTTACCCAAAAAGTACCTAAAAAAAAAAAAGTCAACAACCTGTGGCCGTGGGGCAACACCACCACTCATCGGTGGTTCATCATCCCAGTCGTGATCGCCATCGTTTTCTTCATCGCTATCCACAATACGTCTTTTTATCCCCTCGAACATTCTGTTGGTTGCCGAAGCGGGAACGACGGGTGATTTCACCTGCGGTGCGCCTGAAAACCACCCAATTATTTCGAATTTTAATTGGCTCTGTGATGTAAAACACACAACAATGATTGAGTGGTACCTGTACGATGTTAGAAAAACAAGGGATATAAAAATACAGAAAAATCGAAGTACCATTTTTTTGCCTTTTTATCCCTCCGTTTTTTTTTTAAAAATTCAACAATTCTACTCGAAATACCATTTTTGAGAGATTCAGCTCCTTTCACTCGTCCGGTTTCTGCCCATATTTTCTAATTTTACAACTCTACGTTCGAGCAGGACGCCAAAACAGCGCGCGAAACATGTGGGAAACACGGATTACGTGTAGAAAACATAGGCTACATCATCAAAAAAAAAAATCATTCAAAAAATAAAGATGAAAAAATAACGGCAATACCAGATACTGGGCGCATCACAGGCACGGCGGCAGGGTTGAAAACTGGCAGTTTTACAGGTTGTGGCTTTGGTTCTTCCGGCTCAGCAGCAGCAATTTCTGTTTGA